GACCCAAGTTACTTCAGACGAGTTCAGTTATATCAGCAACGTCATCATAAAGCTGAGACGAACATCCCCATTCATTGGAAATGTTTTGATTCAATGTTGACCCAAGGTGGCCATACACAGCCATTATTTTGACAATTTGCTCAACGCCCTCCAAAACTTCTTTAGCAGATTACTGTATCATCATTTCCATTATCATACTAATGAGGCGGCTGAAGGCAGCAGCAGGCCGGCGGCCGGCCGATCCTGCCAATGGGCTGGGGTCAAGCCCGGTCGGGCCGGCCGGCCGGCGCCAGCCTGCCCCACTGACCTCCACTCGACTTTACCCCTCCGCTGTTCCCCTCTGTCCCCGCAGGAAGGCGACGCGACAGGTGGTTGACTCATGGCTGGTGTCGCACGCTACTCCCGGCTCCGGCCAGTCCAGCTCGGACCTGCTGCTGGGGTCCCCCACGGGGCCGGCGCCCGGCGCGCAGGTCGCGGGTGGTGGCGGCGGCGGCGGCATGGCCCCGGGTGGCTGCTCGGGCTCGGCGGCGGCGATGCCGGCCGGCGCGGCCGCCTCCCGCAGCGGCTCCGGCGCCACCACGCCCGTGCGCAAGATCTCGGCGCACGAGTTCGAGCGCGGCGGCCTGCTCAAGCCCATCGTCAACACGATTGACGGCACGCCCACCTTCCTGTCCGTGGGCCCCGCGCACGGCGCCGAGGGCGGCGAGTGCGGCGCGGCGCCGGGCACCCCGCTCCTGTCCAGCCACGGCCGGACGCAGCGCCTGTCGAGGAACGAGCTCCGGCACCTGGACGAGAAGGAGCTCATCTTCGAACTGGTGAGTCACACGCCAACACATTTCAGGTGCCGTTTTCTCCGGCGGATGCAGTACGTAGTTAGGCAGACCCACCACAGCACGCTCTCGGAGCTGTGGGTGCGGAGACGCGTTGTGATCCGCGACGTGCGTGCGTTGAGCGGGTTTCCTTCCCGTTTGAAGCCATAGGGCTACATAGACGGTGCACGAGAACACCTAAGGGATCGTCCAGAGAGTACGTCCGTTTTTCACGATTCATTCGGCAAAGCACGGAAGCTCGGCGCCTGCGAGACTTGGGGTAGACTACC